CCACTACTACTGCTACTGCCACTGCTACTGCTATTGATACTGCCACTACTTCTTCTACTACTACTACTACTACTACTACTACTACCGCCACCACCACCGCCACCGCCACCACCACCCCCACCGCCACCGCCGCCACCGCCGCCGCCGCCACCGCCGCCGCCGCCGCCACCGCCACCGCCACCGCCACCGCCACCACCACCACCACCACCACCACCACTTCCACTTCCACTTCCACTTCTCAACTGCTACCACTGTTGCTACTCCTGCTGCTGCTGCTACTACCGCTCCTTCGCTCTACCTGCCATACGTGCTACCCACAACCTTGTACGACACACCGCCGACGGCTGCCTCCCACCTCTTACGTCCTGCCTATTGTACTGCTCCGGTTCACGGTATGTGCAGTGCCTCGTAGCACAATCGGTCCTCAGTGTAAGCAACAAACCCCAAAACTAGGTTCCCCCACAGGGTTTAGCGCGTAAGTTCCGCGTAAGTGAGGTTAAAGTCGACGTTGCCAGATCAAGGCCACCCAGCCCGCGATGGACATCGTCAGCAATCCAACCCCTAAGACAACCGTAAGCAGCTCTACAGAAGCCCCGAAGCCGGAAGGAAAGGCTCCCAGAAACTCTCAATTAGTTCGCCCCCCAAACGCTTTGCAACCGAGAAACTTTCAGGACACTTTGTCAAGAATCCAAAACCAAAGACGGCTTCTTTAAAAATCCAACCCCTGAGACGGCCTTAACCAGCCTTCTCCAACTATTGTGGCTTTCACGCAGCCCTGAAACCCCTAGGAAGCCTACCAGAAGCTCTTACTTATTTCTAGTTCCCGGAACAACTTGTCATCGAGAAGCTTGTGGCTTACAACTCAGGGTTCTAACTTGCAAAGGTATGTAAGTATGCCTTCGCGAAAGTTCCGCGATGGTGGCGCGAAAATTACTTTTTTTGTTCGCGAAGAAGGTCATTCCGGGATGAAGGAATTTGGATCAACCGCCATATATAAAGGTAGCATTGCAAAATGTTGCAAACCTCATTCCAGCCTGTTCAACGGTCGAGAGCATGGCTGCACGCCTGCGAATACCAGGACAATCAAGGATTCTAACATTGCGGATTTCATGCTTGCCAAAACCTGACAAAGGCTAGTGTTGTCCAATGAAAAGTTGCTGTTTGCAGCATGTTGGGGGCCTATGCAAGCTCTCCAGGGAATGCCACCATCAGATCAGCATCTGCGGATCTTGCCTTCACCGGAGCAGGGTCATGGGAAATGAGGTAGGGACAGGTTTCTGCAATTTCGTTGGCCTTAATGGAGGAAGTCTCGGTACAGGAACCGACCTTGAAACCTAGGAAAAAAGCACTGTCCCAAACTAGAGATGCCAGTTTCTTCGTGAGGATGTGTGGCGGTGGCAATGGCGGTGGCAGTGGCGGTGGCGGCGGTAGCGGCGGCGGTGGTGGTGTTAAGGTTGGCGTGGCGAAACTGCGAAGGATTTCAGCACCTGCCAGATCGAAAGTTACTTTGCCAATTCAGGGGTGGTATCGCGACGAGAAGTCGGGGGTTTTGGGCTTGTCTGGTTCAAGATTACCTGACCAATCCGCGCCCAAGTTCGAACTGAAACGATGTCGGATCTACGTGCCCGAACGGCAGTGCAGCTCAGTGGTCAGTAGATTCTGGTTGAGCCCAGATGTGGTCCGACTGGAGCGTCTTCAGCAAGTGCACCGTGAGTTGCGGTCTTGGTCGCAAAAAGCGTCCGGGACTGAGTCGAGGATTTCCATGCTGTGAATTCAGTGCAATGTCTGAGAGAGTTGAGGCTCTCGGCGTCTGCAAGTGGTTCACACCACGCCACAGTTGGAAGCTGCGCAGCAGACCCAAGCATGCTCTCGATTTCAAGCTGGGCAGCACAGCACCGCGCCGAGGTACGAGTCGCTGGCCGGGCTCCCCCACAAACAAAAATCCTGGCCTTGTGAGTGTAAGAGTGTTCACAGGAGCGGCTGGATGGCCATGTGCAGAAGCTTGAGAGCAAGCGGCTCAAGGTCCGATACCCAAAATCAAAACTGTCTACTTCGAAGCTGTGCCAATCTGTGCTGTTTGCAGATCCGGTTCCTGGCTTTCGTGGCCGGCCCATCAGCAATGCTAATGGTCTTCGCGGCAATGAGGCGCTGCAGATCGTTTTTTTGCGGCGTAGAAAAACTTGTCGAACGGTGCTTCTGCAGGGTTTGGTCGAGATCTGCAGCAGACCCAGCTACTGCATCCGGGGGCTCTGTGGGGACCTGCTGGGCTTTCCTGGAGGTTGTTTTCGCCAGGATGCAGAAATCCGGTACAGTCTCTGTCGCTTGAGCAACTTTCTTTCACAGAGGCACGTGAGGACGCGGCAGAGCGCGCTAGTGTCCTGGAAGCCCGTTTGCACAGATCGACGTCTCAGAATTAGGAGGGCCGCGTGTGTGGGAAAGTGGATGAATCTTGAGGCTTGCTTTGGAATCTGCCCTGAGGACTCTTAGACTTTGCATGTTTCTCGAACAAGCCAAGGAGATGTCGGCGAGCCTTGTAGAGAATGCAGAGCAAGACACGTCCTTCGATGCACTGCAGCTTTGGTCATGACATTAATAATATAAGAAATGCAGTTGTTCTCACTCTGGGGAGAGTGTGTGTGTGTGTGTGTTTGCGACGTCGTCGAAGGTAAGCCGCGAGCTTCAACGTGCCTCGCTACACGATGCCGCGAAATGCTGCGCAAAGATGCGAGTGCTCATTTTTAGTGAGCGGCACTGCTAAGGCCGTTGCTGATCTGCTTTCTCTCTGCAGCAAACAGCTTGTTTTAGGCTGCATGGCCCTTTCACCCACTACTGAGTGGTGAAGTGTGAAAGCTGGTGTCACAGACGATGACACGAGGTCGAGGCAGCATGCTCCCATGATACGATGTGTGACTGCATTGCTAACCTTCTGACAACAGTCGTATTGCGAGTTGCGGTCGCTGGTGCTTCTTTCTACTTCACTGCCAGCGGGCGAGTCACGGAATCGAAGTGGAGAAACTTTCTGATAATGTCGTGGTGCATCTGCCGAAGTACATCGGCGAGATGAGGTGTGTATCTTTATTATATATATATATACACATGTACATATACACTCGCTAGATGCAAAGTCATTTGCCGATCTGCTTCACATAGATGTCACTGCTGTAGCATGCCATGTGGTCTCACGAAGAAGTCTAGCTGCATTTGCAGTACAGTGCAAAGAACACTGTGCTGACTGGCCAGGAAGTGGCCTGGAATTGCACGATTTAGCGACAGGCGGATTAAGCTACCATAGTGCAGCCTGCTCGATTCTCGTGGCTAGCTGGTTGACAGAATCTGGACGGGCAGGTACTGTAGAGATGTCTCTATTCTGCTTCCACATTCTGCTCCAGGCATCTGTTGCGTGCTATCTGCACAAAGAAAGCATCGGCACGTCGAGGGCGCATGGAGGCAGGAAAAACTGCGCCAAGCAGACGAAGACCATGATTCCAGGGTCCCATAACGACCCCGACCTCTGACATGGCCAGCCTGCGTGGTGGCTCAGACTCAATGCCGTAGCAACTGGCAGCTGCTTGGGGCCTTAGGGGACATGGCTGCTGGGTCAGCAGAAGAGAGGTCGCTCACAGAGGGGGCGCCACGCATCAAGTAGCTGGGCAGCAGAATTCACCTTGCTGTGCACGGCTGAACAAACTTGGACATCCATTTCAGGTTCGCATGCCACCCTTCCACCGAAGATGCAGAACAAAAGCTGGGACCTCTCTTCTCGGAGTTTCGCAGCCTCTGCGATGTCGGGGCTCTCAGGGGACAGCAGCGACCACAAGGGAGCTTGTTCGGCGCATCTCGAGATTGCCGACTTCATGAAATCCTGTCTAGGCGCTGTCGGGTGCTGCGATCATGCTGGAGGATATTGGCGCAGCGCCTGTACTGCCTGATGGTTTCGTTGCTGGCAACTGCTCCGCGCTGCTGCAGGGAGCAGCGGAGGCGAGGGGTGCTAAGTGGGTGCTGAAGTTGTTTGCTTCGAAGATAAAGGGCGCATATTGGTATATTGGGCGCAGAGATGCTGCACTGAGAACATAACCAACGTAACAATGTAATCGTCACCTCGTCGCCATCAGGAGATGCTTCTTGTGACAAGATCAGGGAAGGCATCAGGCTCAGCCTGGCCTGACTTGTGGCTGCGTGTCTATGCCAAAAATTATTTCCTTTCCTCGCACCTTTGCTACTGCTTAGGATGCAGGTGTGCGGCCCAGTGAATCAGACTTTGTGGCAGTCCAATCCTTCGACTGGAACGAGTGGAGCTGCTGCTTCTGCCCTGCAAAGATGGGGGCAAGACCCACGTCTGACACGCCTTGCACTCAGCCACTCCTCCTCAGATCGTTCTGTCTGAGTCGTAGACTCGAAGACAAGGTGCCAGACTCTCTTGACGCAAAGTCATTTGACGCCATGTCATGTCAGCCTTTGTTGCCGCAACCGGTTTGCCGGCCGTCGTCTGTTGGCCCCGTGTCAGTTGACACCACGCTGCTGGGGCCAAGGCAGTGCGTACTGATCGAGTGCAATTCGACTCAGGCCCTTGCACTGGGCTTGCATCATGAAAGCCGCGGAGACGTTCAACTGGCCTGAGCGGCCATTGGTCGCCTTGCACGGGCATGCTCTTGCCGAGAAGGATTTAAGAAGCGCAGGGAGGGATTTTCTGAGTCAGCTCCAGGGGAGTACTCTTGTTTTCCTGAACTCTAGCTCCCAGAGATGACTGCAAAAATCTGCAGGGATAATTGCTTGAAGCCAATGCTGCAGGAGGGTCTGGAGAAGGCCAAAGCACTCAAGCTCCCGATCAGTCACGAGGAGACGCTCTTCAGCACGCCAGAGGACCGGCGGGACATGGAGGCTGAAGCTAAAATGCATGCAAGCTGCTTGCGCTATTAGGCACAGACGAGTAGCACTCTCGTCGGCGCTAAGCGTTTGGTTGTGGAGGGCTGTTGGACTGGTTCTCGTTGCAACACTTCCAACACCGGCCGACAGTGTCTGCAAGGCTGAACAATGATCAAATGATTCACGTGCAACCATTTGCAACCCCACAGATCTGCTGGCAGTTGTGGCTTTCGGCCCCACAGTCGCTTCATGGAGCTGCCGCTAAGCCACGGTCGCATCCAGCTTCCTCGAGACATCCGTGTAGTTCAGCACGTCTTTTGCGAGGACGTCGATGCCCTGATGGAACTGTTCAAAGCCTTCCCGTGCGCCGACAGAACGCTCCAAGGGTGTGTGATAGTGGGCTGTGGTTGTGGAGAGTGAAGGATTTAGAAGGGGTCGTGTGGGTGGCCCTCGTTGACAGCTCTGCAGGCCGTCCTGTAGTCTCAAAGTTCCGAAGGTATCCGGAGAACAAGGTGTTCATCCGCAAAGGTCACGGGATCCTTGCCTGCAAGTGCTTCATGCTGAAGCTTGCACTGCCGCTGCGATTAAAGCTTGTCGCGATTCAAGCACCCGTGTGCGGCTTAAGCACCAGCGACTCGCTTGCACGCCACCGCGATTCGAGCACCGCACCAGATGAGAGCAGTTGTGATCGAGCACACTCGATTTAAACACCAAGCCTCGACATCATGGGGTAGTGTTTGTGGTTTGCAGGTTGCAGCTTTCGCGGTTTGGAGTGTCGGGTTTGGGATTTAGGCTTTAGGTTTTGGGATATCACCGGGCCAAGATACAAAGAACGTAGAGTGTTTCGGATTTTGCAGTTTTGGGGTTTACATAGGGCTTTAAGGCTTTCGTGTTTATAGGGCTAGAAGTTGGTAAGTTACAAGGTTGAGTGTCTCAAGGTTTAGGCCCGCTTAGGCTTAGGGCTTCCCGGTTTGATCGGTATTTCGACCACCGCTTTCCTCTTGCTAGGGTATAGCGCTGCTTGCTCTACGAGGAATTAGCGTGCCGACGTCTCAATGAGTTTCTGCTCCGTAGAAGGGGCTTGCACAGGGCCTGCATTCTAAGACGTCCGAGTCCTGAGCCTGTTCCGTGTAGCCCCACGGTCAAGCGAGCGGATGTACGCGAATCGTGTCGGCACGTGAATCTGCGGTCAGTGTGCCGATGCCTGGTGCCCGAGTCCCGGGCTTCATTGCGGGAGGAACCTTCTCGGTTCGAATCCTCCGAGTCGTCTGTGTGCGAATCTGCAGTTGCGAATCCACAGCCCGATCTTCGTCCCAGTGTGTGAATCGATGTGAATCGTTTTCTTGACGAGTTTCTGCATGTTGCCGCCTTTCTGACTGCACGCAAAGTCGCTTTCACTGCACGCTCCTTGTTCCGCGGCCTGCATGCGAGGTTCTTGATTCTGTCCAGCAGTGTCGCGGCTGCTGTGGAGGACACTCTTGTGGTGTTGAGTCAGGTCCAAGCTGAAAGTAGCGCTTATGGCGGCATTACTAGGACGTATTGAAAGGTGAAACCTATATGCCAATGTCGCTTCTCGTTCGAAAGCTGTGCTGGTGACAATCTTCTCACGGACCTGGAACATGAATCAACAGACTCAGCCAAGCTAACACTGCCAAAATGCGGCAACATGAAGCGTGCTGTACTGGTATGTTCGAGGCATGAAAAAACTAAACGTAGTTTGTACTCACAGTCGCTGTAGGTTCTGTGACTTGCAGAGTCTGCCTCTTTTCCTAGCGTATTCCTCGACTTTTTTTCATGGTGTTACGCAGCCTTGTACTGTACTTGTAGAGTTGCGAACCACGGCCCACGAAGGTTCGCTGTGAGGGCGAACTACCCTAAAGGATAAATGACGTCTCTATGTAGGGTTTGTTCACTGGCCTACGGTATCTTCGATTCTTGGATAAGCTGGAAAGCTAAGCAGCCACATGAAGTTTGCCCGAGGAACTTGAGAGGCTTGAGCCACACTTCGAGCAGAGGCCGTGCAAGCAGAGAAGCACGGAAAAAACTGGGTGCTTCATCGCGCACCGCGGCTGTTGCGGACGTCCTGCTGTTTCGGCATCCACCGTGCAGTGCCATAAGAAGCCATCTCCCTCAAGCTCCACAGCACCCCACATGCCGCGACCGCGACGTGACATGGAATCAGGTTGCCAAAGATGCAGCAATTGACAAAGACCAGAGTGTGCGGGTCTGGGTGCGGTGCCCATGCAGGGACCGCAGCTGCCATTGCGGGCGAAGAGGCAGCTGAATTCGATGCTGCAGGAGCGACCGCTTGGGTGTGCGGACAAGCAAAGAGCACAGGATGAGCAGAAGGCGGAGCCAGAAAAGGAGAGCGCTGGTGGATACATCTTGATGTGAACAAGCACAGTGCTTGTGACTGTCCAGCATGCACAGGTTTGCAAAGGCTGGCATGCGAAAGCTTGCTTGCGACAAACTCCGAATTAAGTGGGATAGCAGCACAGAGATGCTTTTCTGTGGAAGCTGCGTGCACACTGCGAAAGCAAGTAGCCAACTGCATTCTGACTTTTCACGCAGCAGCTGGCCGGCGCATGTTGGAGAGCGGCGAACTTGTAATTCATGTCCTCTGCACCGGCTTCAGCTGCTCTGATGGGAGACCTTTAGGGAACAGAACTCCATCACAGGGGCCCACCTTAGGCCATATTTCGATTCAGACTCTCAGGTTCGGCCTGCAGCAGCATGCTTGAGGATCATAGTAGATGCAACCTTTTTCCCGATCCGCATCGTGCACATGGACGAGCCGAAGGCATGACATCGTGCCCCCCTTCGTTGCGTTGCAACACCGTGCAGGCACTTCGCCCCGGAGCACCTTAGTAGCCGATGCGAGGAGCTGGTGCGCAACAAGTCCTTTGCGAGCAGCGAGACTTCACAGTCGACTACACCTGGCCTCGCTCGCTGGTCTTGCCGTGGTTAAGTCTGCAGACCTCATGTTCCAAGGGATTCCTGCCATGACCGCCTGACATGAAGATGCCAGGATTCAAGCTCGGGACAGTGGCTCATGTCCAAGAGGCGGGGAGAGACTCGGGAGAGACTCGGGAGCGGCAGTGTTCGGACAGGTCCCTGGAGCCCCGGAGGCCGCTTAGCGGGAGCCGGGCTGTTGGAAGATAAAGAAACGCTTTGAGAAAAATCGCCACCTAAGGCTGCAGTGGAGAGCAAGCCATGCTGGTCGAAGCTCACCGCCTTTTGGTCGCAGCTTGAGGGAGCTGTCGGTCGACATGCTGCCGAGTCTGAAGCGTCACTTGTGTTCCTGTCACTGCTGCCTGGTTGGGAGTCCCTCTGCAAATGACACGGTTTGGGGGAAGAGAAGAACCCGCGATTCTTCTCCATCCTGTTGCTCAGCGCTTTGTGATTTTGAACTCAGTGCCTCGCTGAGATGGCTGAATTCTTTTTCGGACCTAGGATACGATGGTTCAGTACGTTGGAAAGCCCGGCTCGTTTGGAGAAGCGATCGATCCCTTTGCGCTGTGCCGGCGCTTGCACAAGAATCGCCCGCGGCAGGCGACTTTGCAGAGTGGTGGGTGTCGCCCTACACCTTGCCAGAGGAAGAAGAAAGCAACGTGGTCGCAAGATGAATCGCGGTTTCATGCAAAGCCACACCCGATGTTCGAAGCCTTCACTTCAGCTGAAGGTGACGATGACGAGGAGGACAAGGACGCGCACAGTCTGTCGCAATCTGGACTGCGCATGGCCAGATCACCAAAGCATCTCTGAAACGATCAGTCTGTGTGTGCTTCCTTCCTCCTGCTTTCCTCCGGAGTTTGTGGCAATCGTCTGTTGCAGGGACTCAAGCCATCTGCAAAATCAGCGTGCATCTTGAAACGAAACATGAGCTGCAAATTGCTGTGGCATCTTGGACACAAGCACTGGGAGCCAGAATGTAGACACTGCGCGTGAAAGCTGCCTGTGGCAACTCTGCACAGAGGAGGCGGCCTTGCTGAAGAGGAAGGCGAGGGGCGGGGGGGAGGGGTGCTCGAAAGCTGGGAGAAGCTCTCTGCGGTTGAGTCTTGTGTGGATTCCCCGCCTTGCCCATAAACTCTTGAATTCACGTGCAAATTCCAGCCAAAACAGAAAGCAAGAAAAGCTGAGAACTCAGCGCCTGCACCCTCAGCTAACAGAATCAAACAATACCCACACCACCGAAAACAGAAAGTTACCAGCTGATAGTGTGCACCCGGCGGTGCAAAGTCTGAGCCTTTCAAGCCCATGCAAGGGACGTTATAACACCCCGAAGCGGAAGGTACCCCATCCATCCAGCAATCCTTCCTTCAAGAGCTATTCTGGATACACAATTGGCGCATAAAGCCTTGCTTGCGACGCAGGAGAAGCGAAACGGTTGCAGCGGTCGTAATTGAAAGTTGTTTGAGACACATCAGGCATGGCAGCATACCTATGGCAGCAGGGCTCCCCTAAATCGGGCTCCACGAAAGTATGCCGTCGCACCCTCAAACTTGTGCAACCGGATCCATGCAGTGACGGGGCGTACAAAGATGGGGCACGCGGGAAAAGGAAGCGTCTAAACAGTAAAAGAGGTATGCACAAGCCATGCCAGGCAATGCGCATCTAAAGGGCTGTCGTAAAATACCCACGGAGCAGGGTGCCGGGACACGGAGTCGTGGCCGGCAGTACTGTGCTGTTGATGTTCCAGCAGCCTGCGCCGCCGGGCCGAAATCTCGTGTCCGCGAGGATGTAGTAGCCCGCGTAGTCGAACTCCGCGGTGCCCATGTTGTCCAACCAGATGGCGTGGCGGTTCATGCCGACACCGACTGCACTGAAGATGCAGAAACTCAGCACAGCATACATGAAGGGCAACGTGTAATTGCATGACCGCCTGCTTGATGGTGCATCTGCGAGAGATGCGTGCCATGAAAGTCCCAACGAAAGGGACCCCAGCAATCAACCAGCCCCAGTAGAACAGATCCGCCGGTCCACCCATGAAGGGTTGGCGCCCTTGCCGTCGTTCGGCCGCCGATTTCCCAAAGACATTTGGGCGAAGGCGTCGGTGTCGAAGGCATCTTCGATGAGTTGGTTCGAGTGGTAACCGCCCGGCAGGACGATCACGTAGAGAATGTACCTAGGCTCCTCGAAGCGAGCACCACCATCGTTACAATGTTGCTGCATACGAGGATGATGTAAAAGACCGTCTTGATTCTGAACTCCAAGGTTGCCACGACAGAAAGTGTGTCGCAGACGTCGAGCGGGGCGAACTCCATTCTCCACAGGGCCATACAAGGGAGTTCTGGGGGCTTCACAATCTGCGCTACTGTAGCATTCGAGCCTTGGGCCCTTTCTCAAAATTTTAAAAACATGTGCAAGCTTGGTTCTTCTGGCATTAAAGGCAGGATAGGCAGGCTTCTGAATTGCGTGCTCTGGCACGGCTGCGATCGGGTGGGTTTGTCGAAGCCGTCCCACGACAGCTCTCATCAGGCATCGAGGTTGGAGAGACCGGTGCTGGATCGAATCGTCAACAGCAATGGTTTCGAGGACCGGGAAGTTCTGTTGGGGCTCTGCTATAGGTCTATAGATTTGGGAGGATAGCTAGTGTTGGCTAAACATGTGGGACGACTGCAGCTAGCCTGACGCTGACTCGAAAAGCAGGTCAAGGCGGCTCAGCTTTCGCTTCAGTTAAATAAAATGCCACATCTGGCATTGGCCGTACCATCAAGAGCTCTTGCAAATCTCCAAAAACTTCATGATGTGAGCTTGCATCGGCATCGCTCCGCACCTCTTCCTTTGTGGCACTTGTCACTTGTCCTCGAGCTTTCCCAAAGCGGCGCGGAGTCATTGCCGTAAGCCAACATCAACATCTAGTTGCCAAAAGATAGTCGTCCACCATCGCAGGGGACAAAAGCTCGGTTATCCTGGATGCCCACTAGTTCCCAAGCATTTTCTGTGAGTTTGCTTCAGGCTTCCAGCATGGCTTCCATCATTCTTTGCATGTTCTTTCTGGGTCCGGGCCCCTGGTGCAAACCCTCTGAGGATCCGTTTGAGACAGCCAACCGTAAGGTGCAGATGCAGCCTGCTTCCCAAACTGCGGTGCAGGGATCTTACTGAGTGAATATGACAGCGTTGATTGCTGTGTGAGCTGCAGGAAGCTGCACGGAGCAGCGTAGGCTTGTTCGTCCGAAAAGACTCCAGACGAGCCCAAATCAAGCACGCTTGGCACATCCCTTCCTTGCCTCAGGTGGGGATGAAGGTGCTACCAGCAAGCGTTGCACACGGTGAGCGCGTTTAGATGTCTGAGTAGTTGGTTTGTCAGGCAGCCGGCTAGTTGTTTGTGTAGTCAGTGAGGGTGAGTTAAATTAGAGTGTTGATTGCACGGTGTTGCTCGGGTGCGGAAGGTTGGCAAGTTGGCAGCTATTTCGCATGGTGCAAGTAGCCAGGACTTCTACGAAGTCATGAACAATGTGTTTGTCTTCCTTTTTTTGGCAGAGTGGATCCTGCGCTTGGACCTTGGACAGCTGTGTCGTACACCTTCGGCGACGAACGTAGTTCCAAGTTTCGAGGTGTTCTCAAAGACGGCAAGGCATACTTCATCCCCTTGAAGGCCGAGGTTGGCAATGACTTGGCTTGGCTCAAAGCACCCTCTGAAACGAGAGCTTTGGCCCAGCACGTCTTCGACACCCTCATCGTCTGGGTTTGCGGAGTGCTGCTTGGGCCCCTTGGCTGACATGCTTTCTGCATGACATGCACGATGCTGCATGCTTGCATGGAAGGATTTGCACAATCCATTATATTTCCAGGAACCGAGTTTGCCTGGCCCTCGAAGCTGCTATGCCCTCCTCGGCACAATTCAAGCTGAGATTCTCAGAATGTTTCCCAGCATCTCGAAAATGCCTTCGCAAAGCAGATCGAACAGCCTCGGGGTCGATCAGAAGAACCGTTGCCAGCAAACGCTAAATCAGATGGGAGAATACAAGATCTAATGCAAGCATTGCAGGTGGGTGCAATACCTTTCGCACGTTTTTGCATGCCTCAGCCCAGGTGGGTTATTCCCCTAACTCAAGATGCAAGGGGCTCAGTCATGCTCTTGAGTAGGCAGCCTGGCAGCCTGCTTCCTTGTTAGGTTCAACGCAGCCCGCAGCAACTCAGTGACAGAAACGGATAGTACAGCGGCACGTGCGATGCTTTCGAGGGGGCGCATCAAAACGCAGACCAAGGATTACACAGTCCTTGAACGTTCTCAGAAGCATGCGGGTGTGCCCAACCCTTGCTGCTCGATGCATGTGCCTGATAAATCTTGACCAATGTGGAATCCGATGCAGACTCTACGGTTCTTCAACTTCTTGAAGACCTTCGAGAGCTTTAAGGCATGGCGGTATCCTCCTGAGATGAACACTTGTCGTCGCATGGGCTTCCGCTTACTCTCTTGACAGATGCTTCTGGCCGGAATCCTCGGGACAGCCACCACGTTGGCAGCATGCGTAGCTTTGCTGGCAATGGTGGACCTGTTGTCCGCGACTCAGTCGTCTGAACTGAAGTATCAGCTTGCTGCAACATGGCATAGCAGCAGCCAAGGTTTGGCATCCTAGCAATCGAGCTCATTGGCAACTTCGAGGCGTGGGGAAATGCGCCACGAGGCCCCTGGCCATTTGTGACCAGCTCATACCAGCTCTCGGTACAACGAGTTCAGTAGGTGGGAGGAGTACACACCTTTCTTGCTGGGTGTGGGCCGGCTCTCGCCGGTTGGTCGGTCAAGCGCGATGTCGATCCTTCTGGCCGGAGGGTGCCTAGGTCCGTTCCGTCAGTTTCCCTGATTGTTTCACTGAATTCACTGCTTTTGGAAGAAATGGAAGAACAGACTCAGGAGCAGCATTCGGCAGTGCGACTCGTGATAAGTTGACAGCATGGCTGAGCAGACTATCGCCAAGAACTAGAATATTGTGCAGATTGGCCATGTTTGGATAAAGCCATCCTGATTCGTTTCGATTCCTTCATGCTTTTTCGGATTGGACAAAGAAGCATCGGAAAGGGTGTGTTTGTATTGGCTCAACACTTTTTGTTGTGGTGTGGTCCTTTGGAATTCTGTCCCTCCGGTTCCGTGGTCCATTTCTCCTATGGTCATGGTGTCCTCTCATATTGCTGGTCCTCTGGTCCCGACGAAGCGGCTAGCGGTCGATATCCGGTAACAGCTACACTTCTGGAACAGTCAGTTTGTGCTGCTTCAGTACTGGATTCCGATACTGGTCTCCCCATGACAAAGCCCACAAGATATCAGTCAAGTATTTTCCTAAGGAGCCTTGAAAACTTGGTACTTTCGCGCCGCCCTTCGCTGTCTTCATTTTCTGAAAACGCAGCGGTTCGATAGCACCAAATTTTCTGAAACGACACCCTTCGGAAAATTTTTGTCTATCGAACGGCCCTTCTCTGTCTTCATTCACCAAATTTTCTGAAAGGACACCCTTCGGAAGATTTGTTGCTGTGGAACCGCCCTTCGCTGGTTTCATTTTCCGAAAAGTTCGTGGATATTTTTACATCAGGAAACAGCCAATCGCAGCAACTTTCGACAACCGATTCTTGGGCAAAATTTGCTGCGATTGACTTATTTGTGGCTATATGTAAATCAGGAAACAACCAATAAATAGCAGCAAATTTCGCCAACCGATTCTTGGGCGCAATTTGTTGCGGTTGACTTGTTCGTGGATATATTTAAATCAGGACACAGCCAATGATGGCAGCAAATTTCGCCAACCGACTCTTGGGCGAAATTTGCTGCGATTGACTTGTTCGTGGTGATATTTGAGTCAGGAAACAGTAATTCGCAGCAAATTCCGCCAACGGATTTTTTTGGGAAGGCTTTTGGGTTTTGTTAACCCTACTCTCCCGCCCAGTAGTGTGCTGTGGCGTGGTGGTGGGTTGTGGGTTTCAGGTTAGTGTTTAACCATCCCCCCCTCCCTGCGGTGTGGTGTCAGGGTTTGTGCACCCCCACCGCCCTGTGGTGCGGTTGGTGGGGTTGTTTAGGGTTTATAAGTGTATAGATATGAAAGGGTTTAGGGTTGAGGTTCAGCAGCTGGGCGCGGCGCAGACCGAAACCTGGCCCATCCAGGTGAGTGTCGCCAGTTTGCACACGCCACGAAGTTGCAAAGCTTCAAAAGTCACAACACTCACGAGGATCCCGGGTTCGGGGGGCCCATCCCTGTGACTGTTGGCACTTTTGAGACCAAAGTGTAACGACCCTCACGAGGATTATGTATATGTATATGTATATGTATACGTATACGTTTATGTATATGTATATGTATATGTATATGTATATGTATATGTATATGTATATGTATATGTATATGTAGGTGCGCGGGTCTCGAACCCCCGGGCCGGGAGATGCGCGTAAACTTAGGCGGCGCTCTT